CCCTCCTTTGGTTATACTTTGTTCTGACTAAGAAACAGACTCTTTCCCTCCTTCAGACTTTCTGCCAAAGCTCGATGAACCCTCTCCATTATCCACCTGTCACAATTAGTTAAGTATATTTTCACTTGGTTTTCGTCGTATTTTCTTTATATATATTAGCAGTTCGCCCATATATTTGCACGTTATGGAACTATTTAACAACATATTTTAGATAACAAAGGCAAAAAATTGTTGTTTGTTATACATGAACATTATTTTATAAAACTAATTGCATATTTATCACTAAAATAAAGATTATTTACAAAAATGTGATTAGTGATTAAAGTAGTAATAGAATCATGGTAATTTATGTTCAAATTTTAAACTTAAGTTACCATAGCACCACATTGTAGTAACTAACTAACTGTCTAACTATTAGTCATATTTATGCAAATAAATTTTATTGTAGTAATATTCTGAAAAAACTCTTTATAGCGATCTTGGGACAATGATATGAAGAGTTCGTTCTAACTGCCAGAAGGCAGCCATTGCACATTAGGGATTTAGGAACGTCGAATCTTTAGAAACTTAGTTGTCTTTATCGTTTTCATGTTTTATATATCGTTGACAGTTTGATATAATAAAAACAAAGAGTACTGATTTGTAAACTTTTTTTAGACACAATTGTTTGTGTTTTAGTGTGTGTGGGTTTTTCCTAGAATATACTAAAATGACATGTAGTACTTTTTTTATGATTGCGTATAGTGAAGATCCGGCGGAAGTTATGGTAGCGCGCAATGAAGGGGAGATGGAGGATCATCAAGGATGGACATGACACTGAGGCGGTTCTAATATGCAAAAGGGTGGAGATGAACTCGATTCGAAAACATGGTTTGAAGGGCCCGCTAAATATGACTATACCAAAAAATGAGAAGCAAGGACGTGAGGTATTGCACGCAAATAGGGGAGTTCTTTGATTATTATATCTTGTTTTTTTCTATTCTGCAATCAAATATGTAGTTTAAAATTCCCATTCTAAGCATGTGCTTATGGGGGGCAACAATGATAAATAAATGGTGCTTTTTTAAAATGAAACATGTATTGTGATGGTATTGTAATACTTTTGTGATGGTTTGATGATCATAAGGTTTGACTATGTTCCTTGTGTGATTAGCAGTTTGTTTGAGTATGAATATAATTTTCGGTATTGTATAGCTGAATGTCCTAAATGGTGTTTGAAAGTGAACACGAAGACCATACAATCTTACTGTTTGCGTAATGATAGTGTGAGGCAAATCGTTTCTCAATACGTACTATGGTGACCAATAAGGTTTTGAGTAAGGGTCGTGTAGTGATATTGTGGTGAATATGTTGTTTGCCATTACAAAGATGAAATGTTCTAAATGGTGTCTCAAATTGAATATGATGATCAACAAGGTGAAAGTAAGAGTTGTGTGTTATTACAATGATGAATATGTTTTGTGAGTGAAGTTGTTAGCTACTTTAAAGTTGAAACGTTCTAAATGGTCTCAAATTGAGCATTATGATCAATACAGTCTGAGTGAGGGTTGTTTTATGCAGGCGGTAGTTAGCAACGGCCGGGGCATGAGGCAACTGATGCAGATGAGGAATGAGCAAAAGGAAGGGGTTTTGTGATTTTATTTTGCTAGTACTTTAGTGACTTGGATTGTTTTCAGGCCCAGATCTAACCAGACTTAAACAGATTAGACCAAATCAGACTAGACCAGTCCAGAGCAAACCAGACTTAAGCAGACCAGACTAATAAATTTCAGTTCAAGTAAAAACATCCTTATTTTTATCTAGGGAAAAGTACCAAATCAGCCCTCAAACTGACATCAACAGTGCAAATCACCCCCTAAATTAAGAAAACTTTCAACCAAACCCTCCAAGTCGGCGATAAAGTGCAAATCACCCCTTCAATTAAAAACATTGCAATCAAATTCTCCAAGCTGGCGATATAGCCCAAATAGCCCAGATGACTTTCCTAAATTGTAGAGCACGTTTGGTAGCACGAAAATCGGCTGTTTTGGCTGATTCTGCTGAAATTTCTGAAGTTCTGGCTGAAGTGGTTGCATTGGCTGATTCTGCTGATTTAAGAAACAATTATTTTTAAAATATATTTTATTAATAAAATAAAGAAAGAATTAAATGTAAAAATAGTTAAAATAGTCATCTACAGTAACTTCAGCCAAAACAGTCAGAAAAGTAACTCCAACCTTACTTTTTCTGCTTATTACGCAACTCAGCGCGCGAAAGTAAAAGTTACGTGTTTGGTGAAAAAGTCGGCTGATAAGCCTGATAAGCCGAAAAACAGTGCTGCCAAACGGCCTCGTAATTTACTGGTTAAAGTTGATGCATGTCCTTTATTAAAAACGTTTTGCCACATAAGATTCATTTATCCACCTCAACATATCTCATCAAACCTTTTATTAACTGTTTATGAAATGAGGTTGAGCATGCAATCTCTTGAGACGATCAAGTGTTTCCATAATCGCCTGAAGACCCACCATCGAACTCAAGAACTAAACATAACACCGCCCGCCACTTCATGTAGGAAACGACTACTGACCAAGGTGCGAAAGTTTTGAAGACTGGGAGATTTGCATAACCTTCTCTACGGTTGTTTAAATATTTTTGTGAATGTACAAGTCAATTTAATGATCACATAAATTTACATTTCATTTTAATGTGTATAGTTTGTTGTTTGTATTAATATATATTTTTAAGTAATTGAAAATGAAGTGGATAAATGAATCTTATGTGGCATAACTTTTTTAATAAATGACATACATCAGCTTTAACCGGTAAATTAGGACTTAGGAAAGTAATTTGCACTATATAGCCGAGTTGGAGAATTTGATTCCAATTTTCTTTAATTGAAGGGGTGATTTACACTTTATCACCGACTTGAAGGGTTTGGGTGGAGGTTATTTTTTACTTTAGGGGTGATTTGCACTGCACTATCAGTGTTAGTTTGAGGGCTGATTTAGTACTTTTCCCTTTTTATCTAGTATTATTTTTGTCATTATTCCTTACTACTCCCTCCGTCCCGCAAAGATGTTCTCGGTTTGACCTACACACATATTAAGGATAAAAACTTACCAGGGGGGTAAATTTTACTGTTTGGACACTGTTTGTCACTGTTTGACACTGTTTTGCACTGTTTGACACTGTTTTGATGTAAGATAACTTTCCATTTAAGGAAAGAGAAACTTCTTTTTGGGACATCAAAAAAAGGAAAGCGGGAACATCTTTGCGAGACGGAGGGAGTAGTAAATTTGAACCTAGACTAGTAAAACATTAGACTGAGAGAGCAAGGCAGTACCAGATAACATGTGATTGGGGGAGGAAGCATCAACACGAGTAGATTGCAAAAAAAACCACTTTAAAATAAAATGTATGTGATTTCTTTTTGGATATAAAGGATCGACTTTTATAATAAAATCAAAAAAAGATGCAAGGTAACATTCAGACAGTTATGGCAGATCCGATCGTGAGTCCTGTGAATAGATATAGAATCAGTCAACTCATACAAAGCAACCTGATTCGTTAGACACGAAATGGAAAATTTAAAGTCTAAAACAATCCGAATTGAAATACTGTCTATCAAACATATTCCAGAAGTCCAAATTTCCAAACCAAACCTACACAGACTAAAATAAAACCAAGTACTAATAATGAAAAACAAAATTGAACTATAGTCTTCCCACAAAATTCTTCATGGCACATATGTGCTTTTGGAGGAGGATGAGCTCTACCAATATCTTGGCACTCTACAAGAAAGCAAACAGAAACCTCTGACGAGACGAAGCTAGTCGAGACACCAAAAGAACTCCCCACATCGAGAGAGACAAACCACCCCGGAGCAAAAGTGCCTGGGAAAGAACCGCCGCGGAACAAAATCAAGACAACCAGAAGAGAAGAACAGTCCAATTGAAACATACTTCTATCAAGAATCTCTAAGAGTTGATATCACCATCAGATAATTTGGATTGCAAAACAAGACGATGGAAGAAGAATTTGTTGTCGGAGAAAAGTAAATCCAACGCCAAACGGAAGCCTCCCTCCTTCACCGCAATCGAACGAGCCCGGTCTGGAGGACGGCTCTTCTGTTTTTGCCGCTAGGATTCACATCAATCTGATAAAAAATGCATATGAATTTGAAAGTAGAATTATTATATTTTTATTTAAAAAAAATAAATGTATTTATTACTCCCTCCGTCTCTTAAAATTTTGTCAGCTTTCTATTTTTGATTGTTTTACTAACTTTGTCACTTTCTCTTTTAAATAAATAATTTATGGTTTTAGTTAATTATCTCTTCTCTAGTTTCCTGCACAAATCTAAACCACACACTTTTCATTTTATTAACTTTATTTATGCTGCTTACATAGTTACGTTTAGGGGTGTTAACGAGCTGAGCCGAGCCCGAACACCCAAAGCTCGAATTCGGCTCGTTAAGGAATTAGGGGTGTTCGTGTTCGAGCTCGAAGCTCGGCGAGCTTTTCAAATGAGGCTCGTGTTCGGCTCGATAGATGTTCGATGTTCGAACCGAGCGCTCGATAAGCTCGATAAATATGTCTGGATTTAAAATTTTAGGCGATGCTCGTTAATAGGCTCGTGCTCGAATGATTCCACAAGTATTCGGTTCGTTAATAATCATATTTAAATTCATAAATTGATACTAATTATATTTAAATTTTGAAATATATATAAATTATATTTAAAATTTTAGGATGTTCGATAGGCTCGAGTTCGAACCGAGCCGAATACTACTATGTTCGAGCTCGGCTCGATTAACTTTTCGAACTTAAAACTCAGCTCGGGTTCGAGTTCGAAAGCTCGTTAAGCTCGGCTCATTAGATTCGAAACCGAGCTCGAGCTCGAATAGTTCGATAAAAGCTCGGTTCGTTAACCGCCCTAGTTACGTTCTTTCTTATTAATATCAGCCACATTCTCCAAAAAAAAAATATAAAAAAAATATTCTAAGCGATATTTTGACTTTAAACATACGTACTAAGCTAAAAAATACAGTACTACTGAGGCCGTAGGGTGTGCATTTCACGAAAATGGAGAATCTGCCGGTCTCGGCCGGTGATGCCCCCGTCGATAGCGGTGCCGGCGGAGGAGGCAGCAAAGACTATTACGAGACGTGTGAGGAAGACGACGAGCTGGTGGTTTTGGATGACGGCAGCGGAAACAGCGAGCAAGTGAGCAGTAAGAGGGCGGCGGACCGAGTGAAAGGGCCATGGTCTCAGGAAGAGGATGCAATTCTCAGTAAACTCGTGAGTAACTTTGGCCCTAGGAATTGGAGCTTGATTGCGCGAGGAATTGCAGGCAGATCGGGGAAGTCTTGCCGCCTCCGCTGGTGCAATCAGCTTGACCCTGCGGTCAAACGCAAGCCATTTACTGGTAACCCTCAGTTTCATTACCTTTGAGGAACATTTTGAGGAAATTTCCTAATTTTAACCAGCATAAGGCAAATGTGCTACTAGTGCTTTCTTGTAGGAAATATAGGGTCTTGATACTTAGGTGGGCTCACTGTTTAGTTTCTGCTCAGTTGATCCTGCCTGTAGTTTGGGTGTATGATTTTCGTATTATACTCACGAGCCCCTGTAAATTTTGAAAAGCTCTGCAAAATGTGTGAGGTGAACGGATTTGAGAATTTTATATTGAGGGGGCAAAGAACATATATTTACAAATCAACATACACATCAACAACAACAACAACATCCAAGCCTTAGTCCCAAACGAGACTTTGCACCACAACATACATAAACAAATCAACATACACATACATAAGATTTTTTGTTGTTGAAGGGTCGAGGCCCCCTCTAGCCCCGGGCTCTGTCTCCACCACTGCTTAATGGAATCAACAAGACTTTGTAGTTCTTTCTAAGTTTCTATGCTTAAACCAAGCTATACGGTAGTTGTCTAGGGTTTTGCACGTTTTTTAAAGCTAAGAGTTAGGAACTTAGGTCTTAGGTCCTTACTTACAGAGCTCAGAGTTCTCTTTGTGGCAGATACACTACTCACTAGCCTTTCCCTCTCTTTTTGAGGCTCTACCTCTTTGCCTTTTTATCTGTCATTAAGCTGTTTCCCCCCCTTCAATTAGATGGTGATTTCTCTTGCAAAGCTATTGCTGTGAGTTGCTGATTTCTCGCTTGATCAGTATTCTCAATTTCCTTGGTGTTATGTATGTTGAGTTGAACTTGTTCTGATTGTTAGTGGAAGCTTGGAACTTACTTTTTTAGCTTGATGTTTTTTGTAAACCTGACATTTTTATGTATAGAAGCCTTATAATGAGTTATAACTATGAACTTTTGAAGTTAAATATTATAAGTACGTCTAAAAGTTTGTGGGGGTGCTTCTTCAAGAATGGTTCTATGTCGAAGTTGCTAAAATGCTGGCAAAGAAATATTCAATTACTCATATAGTCATATTGGGTTGTTTGAGGAAGCTCTATTCTCAGCTTGTCATTATGTTTGTTTATATATATGCATGGCATGCATGCAAATTTTGCTATATTTTTAATTTTGTAATGTGTAAAAGGTATGAATCTGTATCACTAATAAATAAACATTGAAATCATATACCCTCTGTTCTTTTTTAGTTGCAACATTGGTGAATTTGTATTATTTTTTTTAAATATTGTTATATTCCTCTCATTTTAAAATTTCAAAATCTGATTTTTTAAATCTATTTACTAATAAGGAATGAAATATATTAATGACCAAACTTGTGCGTTGGCAAACGTGAAAATTGAAACGTTGTAACTAAAAAAGGATTGAAGAAGTATTAAGCCCTATTTTACGAAATCCAATGGCATTATACAGGAATGATTCTAACCATATTATACTAACCAATATTCAGCTAGATCGATATGTATATGATATCATCATATCATGCCTTGTATGTGGAGCTTTATAACATAAAATAGGACTGATAAAAACTAGTTCTACAGAAAAGCTGAAAAACGTTATCTTTAGAATTGCAAAGGTTTTTGTGTAGAATTTGTATTTGTTTTATTTTTTGGTCCCGGTACTCCGGTAGGCAAACCACTAAAATCAGTGGGGTAAATTCCCGCAGAAGTTTGTATATCACTCTTTTCCCCCACGACTATTATATCATTTTTACTTTTGGTCATCAACTTTCTTTATCACCAGTGCTGCACCATTATGGATTCTGAACATTTTTGTTCTTCTAATCACTTATGCGGCCACTTTCTGTACACTTGTCATTTTTTCCACCCTGTAAGTAAACAAAAAAGAATGAAAGTGGCAAAGAATTCACAGGCCACACATTTAATAGTTGTAAGAGTAAGACCAAAAGTAGAATATTTTCTATGAATAGTGGGACGAAAAGTCAGGGAACAAAAGTGAAATTGATTTAGTAGATTTGGGACTGAGAGTAGAAGATTTCCTCTCTCACTAGATTGTGAATTAGTACTAATTAGTACAAGTACTAGCCAATGGAACATGGTCTTATGGATTGTATGCATATATTTATCCACATTCTTCCCTATAAAGCCCTATAATGATTGCCCCTCCTCCCATGACACCGTTTTGCATTAGCAGGGACTGGGTATTGAATGAGCCAATGCATTTAAGCTGCATTAACATTAATTTGAATGAAGTGAAACATTTAGATTCCAGAGTATAAACTTTTTCACAAAGGTGAAAGTGTTGAACTGCTGGTAGTAATACACACATGCATGATATTTCTACGGAAAATATGGAGGTTAGCTGTTCCAGGTTAAATCTTCCATTAGGAGCTATTAACTTTATTTTTCACATTTCTTGGTATAGTGAAACAATTTGCAGGTTCATTAGACATTCTAGGTAGGAGACAACTTTAATCATATCAACCCGTAAGTCTTTATGTATAGCATACCATTAGTTGGCTGACCATCTATATTCCCGTCTCTCCACATAGAGCAAGGAAATGACAGGCTGTTTCTACGTGTTGAGTTTTGACCTTGGGAAGAACTCGTATTCATGGTAATCTTGCTTGTGAGTTTGTTAAGAAAGTTACTAATCCTTGTCAATCCAATTCGTAATGGATGTTAAAAATTATCCCACAAGTTGCATACCCCCTACCTCCCTGTACGTGTGGTATGAGGACCATGAGGTGCATGTGGCTAATCGATCCCCGCCGTTTGTATTTCTCTATAAGTAGAGTAGATGTGTACAGTTATCCAAACATAGCCTTAGACCCTTAGTGCACAATGTAATAGAATGTAAGAATGGTTTAAAATACCAAGGTTACTAACAAAGGCATTAATGGTTGGTTACAGAGGAAGAAGATCGCATGATCCTCCAGGCACATGCTGTCCACGGAAATAAATGGGCATCAATTGCAAAGCTTTTGCCAGGAAGAACAGACAATGCAATAAAAAATCACTGGAATTCTACCTTGAGACGTCATTATGCCGCACTTGAAAAGTTTACAGGCGAGTTTGGCAACATGATGGAAGATGTTAGTGTAGAAAGATCTAAAGGATCGTCTGAAGATACTCAATCGTGTGGAGATGTTAATTCATCGAAGGAGAAATGTTTCTCCTCACTTGAAGATACGAAAAATATGCTCGCTGAAGACAAGACCCAGGAAGCAGTTCAATGTAGTGAAGAATCAGTAGACCCACCAACTCTGTTCAGACCTGTGGCTCGTGTAAGTGCTTTTAATATTAATAATAATTCACTCGACGACCGAAAACTTAATTCTGGGATAAGAAAATTGGTTGAAGCGGCTTATGGTGAACAATTGATTCCTTTTCAATGTGGTCATGGCTGCTGTGGGAGTGCAACTCAAGGAAATCATAATAATTCCTTATTGGGTCCCGAGTTTATTGACTATGCCGAGCCTCCTTCCTTCCCACTCCATGAAATTGCAGCATTAGCCACAGACATAAGTAATGTTGCTTGGCGTAATAGTGGATTGGAAAACGGGAGCATAAACTTATTCTCCAATTCAACCAGTAGTGAATTGTGCAGCACCTCTCATGATACTTTGGAGGAGATTAGGATGATTGACTGCTCGCTGCTTGAGCAGGGCAACGGATTGATGGCAGATCCAGGTTCAGATACAATAAATAGGCAACCTCTACAAGTATATACTAAAGTTTGGAACATGAGTTAATTGGGTAAATGAATTTGCATCACTTATTATGGGTTGGTTTTGTGCTTAATAATACATCCGATAGAGATAGCAAAGTTATGATTTTTTTTTATCTCAAGTAAGAAAGTCTTAGCCGATCTTACATTAGCATGCAGGAGCTTTTGAGATTTGCATCAGGCTACTAGCTGCTGCTGCTCGTGCCTTCACAAGAAATGAGTAAATACATTTTTATACGTACATTTTTTTCTACTCTTAAAAGTCCCGACTCCAGTATCACTTTTGCCACATTTAGTCACAATGTCACATTGCTTTTTTTATTAAATGAAACACCAAAGAGTAATTTCATTATATAGTAGAAATTTGGAATGTCCTACACAAAGCAGACGTAACAGAAACATTGAGAAGGAAAATAGAGAAGCAAAAATGATCAGTGTAAGATGCAGAGGTCAAAGACGTATATCTACTTGGATCTCTGTCAATCTCATCTTTTGGCGCTTCCTCTTGAGCCTCCTCATATGCTACTTCTTCCACTTGGCTCTCATGTTGAAGTGTTTTGTTAGCTTTCAAAGAGACTCAATTCTGAGTGGGCGATGCAAAAATCTCTCGTCACATTGCTTTGCTTTAATTTTCTATAAAGGTGGAATATAAGTTAATTAACTAGTCATACTAATGAGACTCTAGTATTAGGCTATATTAGTATTTTTTATAAATCTTAACATGTACAAAGTACAAGTATAAATTTAGTATATGGATTATCTTCCAACTCTTCTATTAAATATCTAGAAGTGGTCATTTTGCATATGAAGTCCATATATATATTCTTATTCTTTCAGATCGTTTTTAACAAATATTTTAGAAGTATTACTAAACGTTAGCTCAATTCACTGAATAAATAAAAACATTTTCTTATTTTTTGAAACATGATTTCGATTAGGCATGGACCGGGCCCCGGGCCGGGATTGGGCTGACTAGGGATTTGGGCTGAAGGCCCGGTACCAGCCCAAGTTTGAACCAGTCCTGGCCCGGGTTTGAACTGGGCCGGGCTGGACCCATGACCGGGCTGGGTTGGGTCAACTTTTTTTAAAAAAATAATCTTTTCTCATTTATTCCTGCCCCCCACCCCCAAACCACGCCAAAACACCCAGCCTAACCCACCTAGCAGCGGCCCAATGCCAAAAAACTAAAAAAAGTATTTTGGCCCAGACCGGTCCACTAAAATAAGGTCCCGAAGCCCGCCCCATTTGACCCCCGGTTCGGAGCCCCAGTAGGCATGGACCAAGCCCAGGCCGCTCATAAGCGGGACTGATGTTTTTGGCCTAAGGACCGGTACCGGCTCGGGATACTCCCGGGACCGGTCCGGCCCCAGCCCAGGTCGTTTTTTTGCTTTTCTAATTTATTCCTACCCCCACCCCCAAACCCCGCCAAAACACTTAGTAGAGGCCCAAACCCAAAAAAATGGCCCAGACTGGTCGAGCCGGTCTAGGGATGCACCTAGCCCGGGCTGATCGGCCCGGATCGACACTGTTCTGAACCGGCCCGAATTGGTTGACCGGGATCGGGACAGGGCCTTGGGCCCGACCTGAGAGGGGTTTTGGGGCGGGTAACGGGCTAGAGGCCTCTTGGAACTGGCCCGGCCGGTCCAGGCCCTTTTTTTTTTTCTTTTTTGAAAAGATTTTGTTGTAAGCGGGTTGGGCTGAGTGGTTTGGAGGTGTTTGGGGGGTGGGGGAGTAGTAACAAATTAGGAAAACAAAAAAAAAATACAAGACCCGACCCGACTCGGGTCACTCGGGCCGATACCATCCCTAGGTCGGTCCCCTTATTTCCACACCCGTAGCCCGCCCATTCATCCCCCTGGTTCGGGCCCAGTAGACTGGTCCCGGTCGGCGAGCCGGGCCGGTATTAAATAATACCGGTTCGGGCCGGGCACCGGGCCGGTCAAACCAGTCCTAGTCCATCCTTAGGCCCCAGTACCGGAAAGCTTATTTTCCGGAAAGTTTATTTTCTAGTCAAAAAGTCCTTCGTGATTTTTTTCATGTTCCAAAATTATTTTCAATTTACTTTTCTTGATTAATGCAATATATTTGTATTCTTTAATTTTAAATATCGATTTGTAATCACTTACTCCTCTAATGTGATTATCAATTTGTAATCACTTAGATATATTTGATCATTTGGGTTATAATAAAACTTCTAATATAGCTCTTTCAAAAAAAAACTTTTAATATAGCTTATGGATGTTTTTGCAAAACAAATTGAGAAGGATTAACTTTGTTTTCATTGAACCTCCTAAAGTGTTTATCAGACAAACTGAGACGAGAAGATTACATCATTGTTTTTAACTGTGCATAATTAAAGATTAATAAATGTGTTATGTATAAATTTTTTATTGTGGAATTTTCAACGAAGCACGCTAACATGTTTTGTAGTGAGCACGTTGACGTGATAATTGATATGAAATTGATAATGATTCTCTCATCCAACATATTTAGAAATTCTGACCATTAATGACGTTGAGGTGCTCCAAGTGAGCATGTTGGCTAGGTGTACATTTTCTCGTAACTTAGAGCATTTCCAATACTAATACGTTAACCATGCATACGTGACATATGAGATAACCAATCAAAAAACAATAAATAAAATATCTCTCTTCTTATTTGAAGGATCTTATATTATTTTGGTAAGTTTTTTCTTCACAATGTCAACCACAATGTCTAGATGTAGACATTGTGGTTGACATTGCAGAGAAAAACTTATCAAAAACACATAAGACCGTGGAAAAACGGTTAGAGAAATTTCATAAAATCAATTTTTTGTGTCTATCTATCTCATTTCACATGTGCACCATGCACATTGTAAATGCTCTTACTCTTATATTAGTTATATATGAAAGAAAGATATAGAGAATATACTGCGTAATACATTTATTTATTTAGGTACATAAAACACACGGTGTTTTTTTTATGCTAGTCTGTGCCAGGAACAAGCATATGACAATTATTATTATTAGTAATATAAATACTGCGTAATTAATTATTGTATTGATTCAGGCGCAAAAGCCATTCAAAATGATTTTTTCGCAAGCAGCTGCTGCTGGACAGCCCTTGCAATCATCGTCAGATTCACACTTCCCGCAGCCACCCTTCTTTGGCTTCTTTTTCTTCTTTTTCTTCAGCTCCGTCTCTGATTACACCACAGATATTAACAAGATAAGATGATTCAGAATATTTATGTTTTGTTTGTCACCCAACCAATCAAACATGAATACACTTCAAAAATAACACTAATTATATTCTACTCTCAAATATTGCAAAAGAATAAAACAAAGAATACTTTGAGAATTGAGAAGCAAGGGTGGGAATAAGCCATATTTTGGAATTATTATTTCAATAATTCTAACAGCATTCTTTCTCTCCACAATAAGGCTATTTGGACTTGAATCAGGAATAACTGTCATGTTTAAATATCATTTTGGAATTATAATTTCAATAATTCCAAAATATTGAAATAATTAACATATTTAAATCTTATTTCAACAAACTCGCAAAACATGAATATTCACAAAAACAAGAGTTTTAGAAATTAACTCAAAGAAATAAAATGTAAAGAGCCCGTTTGATAAATTATACATTTGTTCATCAAACACGTCATTTTTTATTTTACTCCTCATATGACTAAAATTGATTACGTTTCACATAATATTACTTAAATGTTTATTTTCTGAAAGGAAATTTGCCCTAAATAGTACTCTCTCCGTCCTGGATAGAACTTGTTATTTGCTTTTGGCGCGATATTTTAGGAACTCAATTAATAGAAGAACAAATGTCTTGCACGCCAGTTGACTTTTGAGGGGATTAATGTTATCCACTCAAATCTAAAAAGTGGGTGGTTAGTGAAGGATAGTTAGGACATTTAATGTAAAAGGAGTTGCCTGAAAAGGAAACGTAAAAGAGTAAATGGGACGTCTTACAAAAGGAAAGTGTAAATATTTAAATAGAAAAAAGGGAGTAGTAAAAACTTTCTGAAATTCTAAAATATGGATGTCATGTTTTTATTCTCGAAATAGATGTAATTACTGTCATGTTTTGAAAATATCAGACTTTAAATATGACAGTGTTTTTCAAACTTGACAGTAATTACTCATATTTAAGGAATATAATATTTGAAATTTCAAAACGTTTAATTCATATTTCAAGAATTTTCCCTTTCCTAAATAACTTACATACATGTCTGACCATGTTATTTATTATGGGGGTGGCATGTCCGGCCATGTTATTCATTATGAGGTGGAATTGTTTTTGACTCTTTAGTCATATTGATCGATGACTAAAAACCTGATTGATAGAGTATATAAACTCAGACCATCAATCTCTTGGATGTGGACAGCGGTCCACACACGATTAGCGGATATCATTTATATTATTGTACAATTCACATACTCACTTCAAGTGATGGCAATTTAACCCGACCCGATGGATACCCGCACCGAACCGAACCGGTCAAAATGGGGAAAACCGTTTTGACTGGGTAACGGGTACGGGGCGAGGAATACCCGATTTATGTAAACGGGTAATGAGGCGGTTATGGGTTTATACCTACCCGCCCCGTTACCCGCCCCGTTTAATTTGGATACGGTTACCCGCACCATTACCCGACCCGCACAATTAACTTATATATTTTAATAGTTTATGTATTTATTATTTAATATATTAAGTATATATGAATATTAGTACATTAGTATATGACACTTATTCTCTCTAGTACTTTGAAACAATATTCAACTTATCGGCTATCCTTTGCAATTCTGATGATCGAGTTGGTGCTCAAAGTTCACTATTTTAGATTTTAAATTTTCAATATCATTCATCATCCTTCCTTTGTTAACTTCTATAATATTCCTTCAAAAAAACCTCTACAATATTTATTTTCTTCACATATTGATTATTTGATTTTCGTGACTTTCTTTACGCAATTTCCACATTGTGTCTCTCTTAGTTTTTCACCTAATAACTTTCATAAAACTCACGTATGAGTTTAAAGTCAAAATATTGCGAAACATTACTCTAGCTTGCTTTAATTTATGTAATTGCTAATAATTTTGTAAAGGTGTATTGGATGATTAGATTAATTTTGATTGGTTGCTCTAATTTATATCAAGTTTTAAAATTTAAATTATGTTTTTTTTCTAAAACAGTAACTACAAGAATACCTAAATCATAGTATTAGAAGTGCCTTTTAAATAATTCCAAATCTATAATCAAAATAAAAGTTGTGGACAAAAATGCGACTCTAGTAACTTTAGTGTTTATAATTTTATTCAAATGTTATGTCGTAGTGATTACAAAACTTACTCATGGTAACTTATAGTCATATTTATGTTCATATCTTTTTTATTAGAGGTATTTTAGGGGAAAAACTTCCTATTTTCATTATGTTACTTGTATACATTATTGTTCTTAAATTAATTTAGATGTTGAATGTTGGTGGGGGTATGCTTATTGAATGTTTGGAAGTTAAATGTTTTTGTGATTCATATTTAGTTTTTACTATCGAGACAAGACTTACTCTTTTGATGTTGATGTAGTAAGAGATTCAATTTGAATCTAGACATATATAATTTGTGAATATTAGATTCAAACGATTGTAACTTTTTGTCATGTTTTACAAAACTTTATCTGTGGTACTATTTAATTTTAATTTTTTTTAATTTAGGTGGTCAATGATAAGTAGTTAATAATCATTTTAGGATCTATACTAGTTTTGAAGGAAAAAAATTATTTTTTAATAAAACGGTTACCCGCG